CCTGTGACAGGGGCTGGTGGTGCTGTGGCTCATTCTGGTGCCTCCTCTTTGCCTCCAGGTTTGAACCAGTGGGTCTGCCCCTGTCACTGCTCAGGGACCATCTCAGGGCCTGGAGAGACGTCCCTGGTGGGGACAAGGGGAAGCAAACAGAGAGTTTGCCACCTGTCGGGCGAGGCACGGAAGGTAAAGCAGCCCCCACCTCGTTTCCATAGCCAGGGCAGCTGGCTTCTGGGATCTGATGGGACAATCCCCAGGGATGAGTGTCATGAGGGTCTGACTCGTGCCAAAGATGGTGCCAGCTCAGCACAGCCTCTTCTCCTCAGGTTGGCTCTGCAGGAGCTGAGCTCTGGGGAGGGAGGTGCCCGAGAGGCACATCCCTGGGTGCAGCAGGAGGGTGGGGATCCAAAGGCTCTGGGAAGTTCCCTCTGCTTTTGAGAGAGGCTCTGTCGCCTCAGGGGCATCACCCAGCTCCCCTGCCCCAAACCAGAGGGGCCTAGGGAGTGCTGGCACTGGGGAGGGTGCCAGGCCTCTGGAGACATCCCAGCTGTGCTCTTCTGACAAAGGTCTCTCCTTCCCGGTTCCAGGGAGGTTCCCTGGCCTGGCCATGCCCGCTGGCTCCACCACTAAGGCAGACAAGCAGCCCTGGCACGAGGGGGGTGAGGAGATGAAGGACAGCTCTGGGGTCAGGTGAGACTGGAGGCTCAGGGCTGCAGCCAGAGCCCCTTCCCCAGCACCAACCCCCTGAGGGACCTGCTGGACCCCCCCATGGCACAGTCTGGCTCCTGTGCAGCCCCATGGGGACAGCCTGTGCCAGCCCAGGGGCCCAGCTCAGTGGGGTTCCTGTGGGCAGGATGTGGCCCCAGACCCCTCCCAGCCTGTTGTGTCCTTCCAGGAAGCTGCCAGCGATCCCAGGGGCTGCTGCTGCTGGAAAAAAGCAGCCTGGGACTGACCAAGCCAAGGGCAAACCCACCCCCAAGGGCCAAGGGTCAAAGCAGAGCCACGGAGAGGAAACAACCACTCAGAGGGGCAGGGCAGGAGGAGATGGAGAAGCAAAAGATCCTCTTGGAAGAGAAGGAGAAAAGAAAGTTCATCTTGGAAGAGAAGGAGCATCAAAAGGTTCCCTTGGAAAAGAAGGAGAAAAGAAAGTTCATCTTGGAAGAGAAGGAGTATCAAAAGATTCTCTTGGAAAAGAAGGAGGAAAGAAAGTTCATCTCGGAAGAGAAGGAGCATCAAAAAGTTCCCTTGGAAAAGGAGGAGAAAAGAAAGTTCATTTTGGAAGAGAAGGAGCAAGGGAAGTTCATCTTGGAAGAGAAGCATCAAAAGATTCCCTTGGAAGAGAAGGAGAAAAGAAAGTTCATCTTGGAAAAGAAGGAGAAAAGAAAGGTCATCTTGGAAAAGAAGGAGAAAAGGAATTTCATCTTGGAAAAGAAGGAGAAAAGAAAGTTAATCTTGGAAGAGAAGGAGCATCAAAAGATTTTCTTGGAAGAGAAGGAGAAAAGGAAGATCTTCCTGGAAGAGAAGGCAAAAAGGAAGATCTTCCTGGAAAAGATGGAGAAAAGAAAGATCTTCCTGGAAAAGAAGGAGAAAAGGAAGATCTTCCTGGAAAAGATGGAGAAAAGAAAGATCTTCC